AAGCATCTACTCCTGTTTGACTGAAGCTGTGGCTTTGAAAAAAGGAGATGGGTCTGTCTCCAAACAAACATTTTTCGGCTGGGCCTGCCCGGTCGTGCCACCGCATCATCCCGACGCCGGCAGTGGGTGGCGTAGCGCGACAGGCTGTCACGTCGCAAGGCATCCTGGGAAAGGTGCCATGGATGCCAATTGCAACGTGCCTTCACCTCATTTCAGCCATAGGTGGCCTTTTGGAGAAATAGATGGCCCTGGTAATTGAAACAAACCCCATCTAAACCAGTGCCATCTACTTTTAACCAAACTAACCTAAAAAGATCACCTATGATTTCAGCTTGGTCCGGCGCTAGGTTTCCCCAGCCCCAGCGCAACCACCTGGAGACCGGCCACTTCATCTCTCTCACCAACATCACGAGCGTCTTTCCGGCTTCTAGCGATCGGTCGCTTCTCCGGGTAAGCTGAAACTCGGAGGGACTCGCCTCCGTACCCTGTCTGAAGAGTTCAAGCGCCACGGCCAGAGAAGGAAGCTCTGATGTGCGTGAAGATGTTGACCCATGTGGGTATTGCCAAAATTGATGCGCCACTGCAAACGACCGGTTTCCTGAAGGATTCATTTCAACGCTGTCCAAAAGGCTACTCTGAGCTTCCCAAGCAGCTTGCTCGTCGGGAAACTGTTTCGGCCTCCCTGGGTGTTTTGTTTGGAGTTGGTCCCCGTTTTGGGGTTGCCTAAAATTTTAGCCGCAAATTGGAAATCCCTTTTTTGGGGTGAGGGGGGTGCCTTGCCCATGTCCCCAATAAAACAAAAAGCAAATTCCAGCTTGGCTTCTGTTGGCTTCTGTTGGCTTCCCGAAAATTGTCTCCCCCGTAAAGCGCCCGCCCCGGTCTTTTCAAGCCAACCGCTGCGGCCCACCCCGAGCCCCCCGCACTCATATCCATCCGGCCTGGTGCCGCAGCTCGAACCAGCCCTCGATGTTGCCGAAGGGCAGGTCCCCCAGGGAGATCTCCACAAAGCCCAGGCTGTCCCCTCGGATCGAGGCCCGGAAACCCCGGGGTCGCTCGGGTGTCACACGGGTAAGGGGGAGTCTAAAAGGAGAGAGCCGGAGCCGGCTTAACGTTTTTGAAGGGAAGCGTCGGAAGGGTTGAAGGGTCTTAAGGTTGGTTTGAAGGAAGACCGAAACCCGTTTGGTTGGGGCCCCCCTAGTGTTTCAGGTCAGCAAAGAGCCCGAAAAGGCTTGAAGCCTTCGGCCCTCTCGAGGAATGGCCAGCTGGCGAGAAAATCCAAGGTCCTATCTGGGGAAGCTGGCAAAAAAAAAGCGGGCGGATGGGCAAAAGCAGAAGCCGAGCTTCGAGAGGTCAAATTGGACTTGCCCTGGTCTGAGACCTGCACTCTCAGCATGGAGAATGGGCAGGTGACATCCAGCGTCTTCTCAAAGTGCCTAGGCGGCAGGCGCTTTGAGAGCCAGCAAGCCTATGGGGTGCGTCTCACAAATAGCCGAACCCGCAAGATGGTGGCATCCAGTTGTTTTGGCTGCCCTTTACCAGCCAAAAAGGGGCTCTCGAAAAAGCAGACACGTCCACAGACCAAGGAGCCATTCAGGTGTGATGGTGCCCTGCTGACACTTTGATCGGCTGACAAGGTTGTCATCCAAGAAGACCTCAGGAAGAGCCAAGGCAAACTATACGGCTCAAAACGCCCAAATTCCAGGCTTTTTGCTATCTTTTTCCAGACACTCCCTCCCCTTTCCCCCGCCAAACACCCCTTGCCCCTCACCTCAACCTCTCCCACCCACCCAACCCCCCACCCCCACAACCCCCCCCCCAGCACCCCCCACCCACAGCCAGCCCAGCCTTCACGGAGGGGTTGCAGAGGGGCTGGAAGGTCGCGGACAGCTCGCGGCAGCCAAGATCCCTGGCCCTCACTGCGCAGAGCTGCAGCTCCGCCACCGGCCCCAGCGTCTCCGCCTCAGCCGGGTGCCCCTGGTGGCTGGGGGGGGGGGGCTGCAGCGAGGAAAACCATTGGGGGCGTCAAGGGGTTAGATGGTTAGACATCAATGGAGGATTTATGCGATTTGAGAGGTTGGTGAGCACTTAGGGGCTTCGTGTCGAAGCGGCACAGGGCGATGACCCCCCTTGGCAACCACAATAGCGAGCTGAAACCACTTGGCACACGGCCTTGCCGAAGCTTTGCCTTGCGCTCCAAACATGGGCAAATACCAAAAGGATTGCGACTCTCCAGCCCCTGAAAGCAAGGAAGCGCCGTGCCACATTGTCTTTGTAGCGGAGGCTGCAAGGGTTGGCGCCATCACACGAGGCACTAGATGACCCAGCGGCAACAATCATGGGCCCATCAATGGCAAAGCCACGGCCCAACGCTCTGAGCCAAGTGAAATTCAGCTTGGCCGAGCGGCTGCGCGCTCCGGCTGGAAGATGCACCTCCAGCGATAGCGGTGGAAGTCGTCCTTGGCCACCTCGTGGGATGGGACCTGAAGCGAGCAACAAGCAGAGGCGAAGTTGAGCTTGCCAAGCAAACGCAACTTGCAGCGTTCAGCAAATGGGAACACTCAAGAAATAGGGGTGGCCCGTTTTCTTTTGGAGTTGGTACCCCGGTTTTTGGTGGGTTTGCAGGGAAACCACAAGCAAAACCACCCATTTTTGGGGAATCCCGAAAACTACACCAGCACAGACCCCAAATAGCAAGGAAGATTCAAAAACGGCACCCTGACCAGCAGCCTGACTGCATCGCCAAACATGCACCGCCAGCAACCACCACACCACCTTGAGCACAACACCCTGACCAGCACCCTGACTGCAGCGCCGAACAAGCACCACCAGTCACCACCCGCACCTGGCCCATTTCGCCAAATCCCACCCTTTTCAAGTAAGAACCCGTGTAGCTAAAGTTATCGAGGGAAAAAGCAATTCCCAGACAAGCAGAATGCAAACGGTGGACATGAAAACAAGAAGAGTACAAACGCAACACCTGGGCGCTATGGCGAAGCACTGGTTTTCCTGCAACCCATGTGTTTTTTTGAATACACAAACCAAATACGAGGTCAGGGAGACTGGTACGAAAAGAGCTGCTAAACTCTTCTGGTGGTCGCAAACCAGAAACGATGGTCCAGTCCCTATGAGATGCCGCTGACACATGATGGCTATGAGTTGGCTGGATGCCATCGACTTGAATCGCCTCGTATTTCTGATGTCCGCCAAAGGGTCCAACCAATTTAATGCCTACCCAAAATTTGTATGAAAACCCTAACCATGGGTTGGCTTCAACGTCATGACTTTCCTCAGCTATGGCTATGAAAAAGACAAGCAGCTCATGCGTTTACCATATGGAACCATTGGAGACGCCTAACGGTGACGAGTGGACATGACTTCCCATGCTTTTCGGACGTCGACCTTTGGCCCAAACAGAAATGGGTTTCCGTACCCCCTCTTTTTGCTCACTGGAATGGGTGCCTTTTGGATGCTGCACGGCTGTCCTCAGGCAATACCGTTTCCTCTGAGTTCCTCTTGGCGATCCTGCAACTCGCGCATCGATCCGCCTGACGCAGCAGCGGCTGCTGCGGCTCCTCCCAGCGAGGCGAGAGGCGCTCAAGCTCCTGGCACTTTGATCTCAACCCAAATGGTGGGTGGGGGTCAAAAATAGGTACCCAGAAGGAAACCCTGGCAACCAACAGGAACCTCAACCAACAGGAACCTCTGTAAAGGCCTTGGAAGTCTCGGAACCGAGGTAGGTCGTAAAGTACTTGGATACCTCACTCGAGCTGCTTCGTCCTCTGCCCTCATCTGGCTCTGCAGACGCTCAGCGTCGATGCTGGGGTCGAAGAGGCTTCCGAAGCCCTTCTCCTCCTGCCATTGCCTTCTCCTTGATCCAAGGCACACGCATCGACCGCCAAGCGTATGAGTCCGTGCAAAAATTTCGGCACCAACTGCCGGATAGTTTGTTGAATGCGTCCGATTTGGCAAACAGCGGCCACACAGGAGCCCTGACTCGGACTTTGTTCTTCCAGGCGTCTGTTGCTCTTGCACTCGCGGGTTGGACGCGAACACATCGTCCGTGGCATCAGAAGGTCTGCGGTCAGCAACCGGCGCCTCAGTGCCGGCAAAGGTACATTGCAGCAGGTGCCACCCTCATTCAGCCAGAACCTTCTCAAGATGACTCTCCTTGGCTGCCTGCCTCCATGCTTCGCCTGTACCAGGTGAGATGCAGTGGCCTGGTGATGATTTCGAGATGCATGGCTGATTGCAATCAAGCTGCCAGTTGCGATGCCATGGATCACGTGTACAGCTGAAAAGAAGGCTCTGCAAAGGGGTCCAGTTTCATGTATCTGTGGTTTCAGGCGCATCATGCTATTCGTGCTGCCGCATGTTCAGAAACCATTTCGTCAATGAACAAATCGCTGTGCTTGCAGAATCCCTTCTGTGGTTTCCTTGATGGTGCTTTAAGAGACCTCGACATGGTTGGGTTGACGCCTGAAATAACCCTTTGTGCGTTGGTGTGCCACATCATGTTGGGGTGTGTCTGCTTGCGGGGGAAGAGAACGTGTCGCCACATGCTTCTTCGAACCTCGTCCGCAGCAGCGAGGAGCATTCAAACATGTTGCAGAGCAACCTGGCTTGCCCAAAGACCATCCCCCTCATCAAAAAGCTAAGAGATCCCTAAATCAGATGATTGCTTTCATCTTGGAACTCTCATCACCGGAGCTTGATGACACTATGTCAAAAAAAAGAGGGAAGGGCAGGCCTCAAGTGAACCTCTGCAAGCTCCCCAAGCTCCCCTGAGAGCTTAAGAGCTTAAAGCGGAAGCATCCAAGAGTGCATCCATCTCTGCCACCAAGATCGCGACATCAAGGTTGTGCACGCATGTGGTGCCTTTCTCAAGGGCCGTGACATAAACAGCACATAGGGCGTTCCATCCATCACTTTGCACCCTTCCCCCGGCCAGTGCCCATGAGTTTCATGCAGACCTGAAGCGTCCGTGGCTCTGAGGCTTCTGCACTCCCGGCTCTGAAGGAGCTCCAGAAGCACCTGAGCACGGATTAGTGAGGAACCCAGAGGAAAACCAGAGACATGCTTTGCTTTGTCACTTGAAAGGAGTGATTCAAACTAAGGCAAGCAGTCCCTGGAGCATTGCGTCCTTCACAGGGCAAACATGTGCGCATACACACACATGCACACGCGCATACACAAAATCACACACGAACAAGCGAGCGCACGAGCACGCAGACACACAATCTCATGCACACACTCATGCCCTGCAAGTGACCGTGAGATGTCAGATACAAGTCAAGCTGGATCTTGCCGCATAGACAGCTGGTGCTCATGCCAGGATGCTTGCAAGAAAGGCATCTTGCGCTCTCTATCCAAAATCAAAAGTGCGTCAAATGCCTACGAAGCTGCTGAGAGCAAGCCGGTCTTCAAGGCCCAGCCAACTGCCCCTCGCCTCTTGCGCCGCCACCCGATCCTTGGAGCAACCAGCCAACGCCAGCGCTTGCCGGGCGTGTGCCTCGGCACCATTTGGCATGCGGAGCATCTGCTGTCCGCCCATCTCCCAAAACTTGATCGCGCGGACAGGGAAAACCCTTGACAAACAAGGTCTCAATGAGGATGCGCGTCTTGATTCTTGGTTGCACAATCTGCATATCAGAGGGTTGACAAACAAGCTCGGGCATGGCCTTACAAAAAGGACACAAGCTGAGGCATGGCTTTGACAGCAGGACCATAAAAACACGACCTGAAAAGCCCCTATTGTGTCGGTCCGGAGGTGCCTGAGGTGCGCACAAGCGCAACGTCCAGCTCTGGCACGTGGCACAGGGCAAGAAGCCGCAACAGCCTGGACTTGCGATTGGCTGGGCTTGATTTGGTTGGTTTGGGTTGGGTTGGTTGGTTTGGTTTGGATTGGTTTCGCTTGATTTGGCTTGATTTGGATTGGTTTGGTTTGGTTGGGTTGTGCCAACACATGCGCACTTGCTCAAAAGGCCGCCCCTACTAATATTGGAAAATCGTGGCGTATTCAAAGCCAAACTCTCAAACTCTGCCCCACAGTGGCTTTCGGGAACCATGCTTCGCTTCAACCAAGACCCACCGAAATTCAAGCCACCTGCAGTGGTCGATTTACCTTGGAAATCGCATGTTAAACGGAGGCTGGGCCACTGCGATTCTTGTTCGGCCAACCATCTACGAAGCGCGGAGTCCTACGAATCAACCCTGGGTTAGAAAAAATAAAGCAGCGAGTCTTTAAGGGAGCTGCCGTTTGTGCTTATGTGGCTTGAAGGGGAAACCATAAAGAAACCACAATTGTTCTTGGTGCGGGGTCCTTAAGGAAAGACACCCTCAAAGAGCCAGGCAACAGGTGCCCGTGTTTTGCCGGGCACTTGTCAGGAGGTCAGCTTCATTTGGCTAGCCCAAAGATCAGCAAAACCCCAAGTCTTGGCCCCCCTTCTGCGATTCGCTTCTGTCATTCCCTTCTGCAATACTAGTACCAGTGAGGCGCTTCTATCAGAAAGCCATGTCATTCCGCAACCTTGTTTCAAAGGTGACCAACATGACTCCCGCCGTTTCCATGGCTCAGCCCACAGCGAGAGACCGAGACCAGGACCCCTCCCGGAACCCCCCCACCCCGGCCGTGCCCTAAGGCGCAGGCTTGCACTTGGTGGCCGCAGGCATGTTGCCTGGCGCGAAAACTAATGCCCATTCGGACACTTGAACGGCCCAACAATATTGGCCCAAAGTTTCACTAGCTTGCCTCAGCAGCATTGCGTTTCGCCCAAAGCTTGCCATCCACTTTCCGCACGACGTCTACTTGGACCTTCAGACAAGCACAAGACCCAGCTTGCTTTATCTTAGCTTTTCTACACCATCTCAACCTTGGCCTTGGCTTTTTCAAGGGGAGCCATTCTACCCCCCCCCCACCCCCACCCAACTGTTAAATAGAGGAAGAAGAAAAAACACGCCGGTTTTCCCGTTGGTGTCCCTTTTAACCAGAGGTTGACCACAAGTGCTTGGCCGCAAGAAGTACCCCGAGACCCAGCCGTGCCCGCTGGCTCCACTCGATCCCCGCCCGCGGAGAGCGCCAGGTTCAGCAGCTCCACGGCCTGCGGGAAGTTCTGGGCGCTGCGGTGGCTGCTCGCCTGCGACTCGCGCGTGCCATGCCACGGCGCCCGAGTGGCTGGAGGGCAACCAAAATGGGGAAACACAGAGGTGCTAGGTGGTTGCTGTGGGGTTTCATCTTTAACTTATGTGCGATTCACATTGTGGGTTGCAGGTTTCGGCCAAGGTTCGCTCGCTTCACTGCAACCTCACCGTGACCTGCCCTGTGACCTGGCAAACTGCTGGCCCGGAGCATGCTCATCAGCGAAGTGCAGCTAAGCTGGCCTGTGTGTAGCAAACGCAGAGCAAGTTGTCCAGCCTTCAGTGCGTTGCCAACAGACGGGTCCAAATGGCTCAATGGAAACCCCGAGTCCATGCAGGGAGGTTCAATCAGCCAGGCACGGGGCGCACACATCAGGCCATCAGGCTTTCGGATTTCGAACGTCCCCATTTTCAGGGCACTACAGGTCGCCCCGTGGTCCGGCCACAAACGCGGGGCAAAGCCCAGGGGTGGGTGTCGCAAGCCAGCTGTCCAAGCAGCATTTGAGGCGGCAGTTGACGCAGCTGCCCCTTTGCCTCACACATGGGGCTCCTTCGGTCCAAATTAGAGCGTACCCGGGTTGTGGTGGTATTTGGGGGAGGGCGGGGGAAGGAGAGGGAGAGGAAGAGGGGCAGAGAGAGAGAGAGGGAGAGAGAGAGGAGCGAACTGGGGAAATTGAGGAGCGAACTTCAGGTTCTTGCGCCCAACTGTCGAGCCAGTTTAAAAAACCACTTTCCTTGATACAATCTTGGATCTTCAAGCAGGCTTTGTCTGGCCTGCCTTGTGTGAAAAGCTGCGGAAACTGCTTTTTCATCTTGATGAATCCCATCGAAGGCATCCTTTCGCAATCTGAGGGTCCTTCCAGGTGCACTTTGAGCCGGGGAGTCGTGCTTTTGGCTCCCACTAGCATCATCCAAGGGTAAGTTAGCATCTCAGGTGGCGGCCGAGACCAAAGCCACCCCCATCTAAAAACATCATCCCCCAAGCCACGCCCCGAGACCACCCCTACCATCTAAAACACCACCCCCCCGGCCAAAAAAAAATCAAAAAAAAGAGTAAAACAACCAAGAAAAACAAACAAACAAACAAACAAAAAAGCAGAAACCCCACCTGCGCCAGCTCCTCCAGGCTCTCCGCGTAGTCTCCGCGCCGGAACAGCACCTCCGCCGCCCAGAGCCGCGCCTGGACGTCCGCCTCCGCGTTCTTGGTACCTGACACCCGGCCTTGAGACGCTGTCTTAAAACGGCTCCGAAACGGTTTTGGCAAACCGTTTCGGAAAGCCGGCACACAGCGCGCACAAAGCGGGGTGGAAGAAAAGAACGTTGCGACGGGAGGCCGACGACCGGCCCAAGAAAGGCAGTCTCACGGGAGTCGCAAAGCAAACACAACCCATTTTATTTGCTCCCTGGATATTGCAAGCAGTAAAAAATGCAAAGACCGCGAGAACCATCAAAATTGTGGTTGGTTTACTTGCAAGGTTTGGAGACAAACCCTCAGAAACAAAGCTAGCGCGGCCCCGCCTGCAGCGCTTTTGGATGCGCGGCCGAAGCACTGCAAAGCCACAGCATCCTCGACTGTCAGGCAGAAATGCAAGGCAATGGGGGCAGCGAATCAATTGCCAGCAAATAACAACGGGGAGGACGGAAACATGAGAAAATCAACCAAAAGCAAGAGAGAGAACTACTGGGGAAGAGATCTGCTAGCCAACGAGCCCAGTCCAAACAAGCCCAGGTCAAGCTGGCTCTGTCCAAGTCAAGCATCAAGCACCGTCCAGGCTGGACATTCCCTCACTTGCAACAACAAATGGTCTAAGTCCCTTGAAGTTAGAGAAAATTGGGCAGAGCAGTAGCTCTCATCGCTTTGAGAAAATTGGGCCTTGGCGCAACCTGTTTCCGTTCTGTCCTCCTTGGCCAGAGCCCAGGCACGTCCCGTCAGCGCCCAGTGCGACGCCAGCAGCGCCGCATCAGACGAACCCGCGGAAGCCGCGGACTCCTCGAGACCTTCCTCCAGGAGCTCGCAGGCGAGGCTGCGGCACTTGGCACCCTTGCGAAAGAGGGTCACTCACAGAAAAAAAACAAGTGCCAAGTCAGACCTTGGAAATATGGGGGCTTGCCTCTTGTTTGCGTGCGCAGCCGTTCCCTCGCTGCATCGAATCTGAAAGGCTCGCGTGGCATACATGCAGCTCGCGAAGCCGGCCGACCTGCGACGAAAAACCTACCTGGGCCGCGCGCCTGCAAGGGTTCCGTGCTGCTGTGGCCCAAGGCCGCCCAAATCCGATGCGCGAGGCTCCGCAGCTGCAGGCGCTCGCCCGCCGTGGCGTTCTTCCCCGCCCAGGCCACCACCGGCGTCCTTTGCGGCCAGGTGTTGAAGGTGTCACTACACCACCCACCCAAACATTGTATGCATGTACATATGTATGTATATATATATATACATATACATATACATACGATCTCACACACGCCTTCTGGTCAGACCTCTCGGACTGGCAGTCACTTGATCACCGGAAGTGGGCCTTCTTCTAAGAATAGACAGGACGAAGCACTTCCACCGTTTCCTCAGGTTGAGTTGGCGAGGGCCCACGATATTCCCAGAACGCATTAAAGGAATTTCTAGGGGCCTCACAGATTATCTTGGAAAGCAAAAGTATGCCAAGGATTGTTGCTTTTATGGCAGCATGTTCAGTGCGATGAGGAAATCAGTTTGCAGGGCCGCCTACCATTTGTCTTGATCAGCCTGCCCTGCCCAAAACTAGCTGAGAAAGTGCCGATATCGATACAAGAATACAAGCCACCCCGTTCTCCCCACAAAGGCAGACTCAGCCTCGCAGAAAAATCCATTCAGAAGCTCTGGAAGCATCACAACTCTCAAGCCGTCGTCACTTCCCTGAGCCCCTTTAACGCAAGGCCTTGCCCCGACCATCGAGCTCAAGGTATTAGCCCTAACTGCTCAATTGTTGTTAGTTTTTGTTTGTCGCTGTTATTGAAATCTTGAAACCCCCCCCCCTTCCCCGACCGAGCCAAAGTCCTCCCCCACACCAAGTCCCTCCCCCCCCCGCCCCCGACCCCCGACTCGGCTCCTGGGGTCGCGCGTGCGGTCCAGCGCCTGGCTCTCCGCCTCGCTCAAGGCGCGCGGCTCCAGCTGGGCCGCCTCCAGGGATTTCACCACCGACACCAGCTCCTGCGCAGCCCGAACCGACTCGGTGGCCCATTTTGCGGGTTTGGAGATGCAGGATCGGCCGGGTTGTATCGGGATTTCGCTTCAACTAAAAACAGCTCCAAGATTTGTTGTTGGCTTGCTGGGAGAGGCAGAATCCATCGATGAGGAGGGCGGACTGGCCAAGGGAGAGAGGTCCCAAACCGAAACACGTGCGACTAGGCGGCATCCTGCAGTAGGCTGTTCTCTTCCATGGCTGAGACTGTCGCTTCTCGGAGGCCGATTGCTCTGATGGCGAGTGGATGAAGTCCACCAAAGATACCGAGAAAGCCGCACAAAATATGAAGCACTTGCGTTTAGGAGGTAGAATAGAGGTGAAATCGGCCAAGCACAAAGCCAAACTTGGCTTAAGCAAGGACTTCACCCACGCGCGCCGAACAGAGCAAGCCCGAGGCTCAACGTCTGAGGCAGGCCACTGGGTCAACTGCATGAAGGGACTGGCCGCGATTCTTACAGTGCACCACTGCAATGTAAATGTGCCAGCCACCTCAGGCCTCAACAGGATTCTCCACCAGGCGAAGGCAGTACTGACCAAGAACAGCGCCGTTCCTTTCTGCCTGCCTCCCTCCCCTTCCTCCCTCCCTCCCTCCCTCCCTCTCTCCCTCCTTCCTTCTTCCTTCCTTCCTTCTTCCTTCCTTCCTTCCTTCCCAGCTCCACCCACAGCAAGTTGGTTTCTAAGGCTGTGCACGGCAGGGAGCTTCTTTTCGGCTCTGGATGCGCTGGGGCGCAGAGCTCGCGCTCGCGGCCAACGCGTGCGCGTCCAAGAAATTCGCCCCAGGGTTCGAGCCCCCGGGGGTCAAGAGCCCCAGGATCAGACCCTATCGCATTGGGTTTTTCTTGCATGGTGAAGGGGATTCCTTCTGCATTCAGGCACTCAAGGCTTTCCTTTGTTCAAGTGACCGGTCTAAGCTTCAACAATGAACTTTGAAAGGAGCCAAAACTGAGGGAGCGCAGTCAAGCTCGCAAGGCTAGGCTCGGAAGCCGGACGCTCCACTCTAACTAACGCGCGGTTGCCCTCACAAGCGGTGCGGCCTCTCAAGCGCAGCTCTCCGCACATGGCCCTAAGTCGCACGGCGGGGCGCTTTTTGAAGACCTGCCTTGTGGCATGGACACTACAGCAATAGTGAAGGAAGGGAAAACAAAGATGTTTGACAGTACGTGCTTCCTTAGTCCGGCTGAGAATAGACCTCCTTCCAATACCTCTGACCACAGCAGTTGACCAGCAACCTTGCGCTCTCCTCCCAGCCACTGGGGTAAAGCCCGTGGAGAGTCAAAGCTTCTTGGACCGAACCATTCGGGTGTGTCGCAAACCAATCGCAACCCCAATGACTTGTGTGATGCTACTTTTGACCCCCCAAAAAAAAGCTCAAGATAGCTCCCCTTTGAACTTGGGGCCCTGCTTCCTCTCTCCTCGCGGCTGAGGGCAGGCTCACTAGTGGCCCATCTCCCCGAGCACATGCTGGAAGTCCGCGTCCTTGAAACGAGTGAGGGCCGAGGTGGCAAAACCCGGAGCAGGTGAACAAAAGGCTGGAGCATACACAAGAACGAGGGCAAGGCCAAAGGAACAGAACCAGAACAGACAGAAGATGCAGCAGTAACAAACAACGCAACCAACGCGAGCAACGCGAGCAACGCAAGCAACGCAAGCAACGCAAGCAACAACAGTAGCAACAGCCACAACAGCAACAGCAACAGCAACAGCAACAGCAACAGCAACAGCAACAGCAACAACAGCATCATCATCATCATCATCATCATCATCATCATCATCATCATCAACAACAACCACAACAGCGGCAGCGGCAGCGGCAGCGGCGATGGCAGCGGCAGCGGCAGCCGCAGCAGCAGCAGCAGCAGCAGCAGCAGCAGCAGCATCAGCAGCAGCAGCTGCAGCAGCATCAGCAGCAGCAGCAGCAGCAGCAGCAGCACAACAACGACAACGACGACGACCAACACGACCACGACAACGGGAACGACAGCAGCAACAGACACGACAGTGCTTGATCCGTGGATAAAACCAGCGCACTCACAAAGTCTCGAGATGAAGGCTGCGAGTAAGGAGGTCAACTTGACTGTGGCACCCACCACAGCTGCCGAACAAGTGTTTTTTAGCAGGAATGGGTATCTATGTAAGCTGCGCCTTGTCCGACGCTTTACAACACGCGCATGTACCCGCGTAAACGGAGTCCTACAAGCATTCAGTTGACGCGATAGTTTTGCGCCAGCTTATTTTCCTCTCTCAATTAAATGCAGCGCACTGACACGTCATTTCTTCACCAAGTAAACAGCAAACTTGCGCGTTGCAGCGTACTTTGCATGGTTGACAGAACTGCGACACAGCAGACACGACAAGAAGTACACCGACAAACACAACAATACAAAACAGCAAACACGACAACAAACACCACAACAAACACAACAACAGCGACACCAGCACCAACAACAGCAGCAGCAACAGTAACACAACCACAACCACGAACATGACCACGGCCACAACCACAACCACAACTACCACCATGGCGACAACCAACGACAACCACCACCACGACAGCGACCACCACGACCACCACAACCACCCCAAAGGCGGCGGCGACAACTCTAACTGCAACTACTACTACAACTATTACTACTACTACTACTACTACTACTACTACTACTACTACTACTACTACTACTACTACTACTAGTACTACTACTACTACTACTACTACTACTACTACTACTACTGCTACTGCTACTGCTACTGCTACTGCTACTGCTACATATTCTACAAGAACAAGAACAAGAACAAGGTCGAGAACAAGAACAAGAAGAAGAAGAACAAGGACAAGAAAAAGGAGAACAGCAACCAACAACCAAACAAGCACAACCACAACCACAACAACAACCAACAACAACCAACAACCAGCAACAACAACCACAACCACAACACAGCAGCAGCAGCAGCAGCAGCAGCAGCAGCAGCAGCAGCAGCAGCAGCAGCAGCAACAGCAACAACAACAACAACAACAACAACAACAACAACAACAACAACAACAACAACAACAACAACAACAACAACAACAACAACAACAACAACAACAACAACAACAGCAGCAGCAACAAAAAGACGCAGCAAGAAACCATTCAGGATCTTGTAACCATCGCGTCAAGTGCTTTGTACTATAGCAACCACAGGGTCCGACGACACACCTGACCGCATACCTCGCCTCCAGCGCTGTGGTACCAGAGGCTGGGAAGTTCCTGGGAAATGTCCACTTCGTTCAAGACATTGCCCCATTCTCAGCAAGCATGGTGTTGTCTCAGTTTTCAAGGAGCTAATAGTGGTTTTGAGCTGACGGCAAGCCAGGGTGTGAGGACTCCCTGTCTTGGGCGCGTTGCCCAAAACTGGCCAGCGATCTGTACCAGGCCAGGAAGCCAAAAGTGACAGCTTCTCAGGCACGCAAAAAAAAGGAACAGGGGGGTGGGTGTTGGCATTATTTTTCGTGCTTTGTTGCGTTTTTGACATTGCTTGTCTACAAGTGCTTTGTTGTGCTTGTAGCGACAGCAAGGAGAGAAAGTGAGCAAATGCAATGGGTAGAGGAGATGCCATGCACTAGTTGCGCTTTCCTGTGCTTGTCGTGGATTCAGAACTACAAGGCACTGTTTTGCAACAAAGCCGCTATGGAGTCAAAACGAGCTTGCCAATTGCAACACATGAGCTGTCACTTCTTGGCGCACGCGTAGGCCTGGCGGGCTTGGAGTACTTGTTAAAGTGTGTAGCCTTTTTGCGATGAATGGCCTCGTTGTGGGGCTTGGCACGCCCGAAGACCTCAATGTCATTGAGGATGCTGGCGTAGTTGCGCAACGCGAACCCTTGCTCGCATGCCCAGGTGTTGGTTTCCTTGAAGCGCTTGGCCAGCCGCTGGATATTGTGAGGGTTGCACTTGCAATTCCCCTTACGGCACGCATAATACACGCACGGTCCATGACGAAACCGTTTATTGCCTCAAGACCCTGACAGAAGACTCCGTTCTTTTTTAGCTTGATTACGTAATTCAAGCTAACGAAGCGCAAGTTCTGCAGGTTCACGAGCATGAATGGAAGTGCCATTCTAACACATCAACGCCTGGCCACGCACTTCACGGCAGGTGATCCCCTGCACAAAGCCTTCCGTGTTCTCGGGCGTGAAGACGCTGTTGTACGCCTGCTCGATTGCACGATAGGAGATGAGCCCTCGAAACCCAAGGGTAGCGTGGTGCTTGGAACCCTTTTGTCGCTGAGGACATCAGATAAGTTGCTCAAGATGCGTTGCTCTTCTGACCGTTCTCAATGACAAACTTGGGCCAAGTAGCACAGCATCCGCAGCCGTTGCACCGCTTCGTGCGCTGTGACACTGCGCGCCCGACATCAAGTGCACCACAGCACTGGTTTCATGTCCAATGGAAAAGGACCTATGTCCACAATGGCATTCTTTCAAGGTTGAGACGTAGAGGGGCTGGACCCGCGACATCTTGATAGGGGACGAATCGAAAGGAGATGCAAACAACACAAGGACAATGAAGAAGACACATCTCCATCAGTCACCTTGATGTACCCCCATGCATGGTCAAGGCGAAGAAGTACTGCGTGTCCGCATCATGAACCACACGCTTGCCCTCCAGCAACGTAGATGTTGAAGTACACTCACGCAGCACCAAGCCAAAGGCAGCCAAAAGGTTGATGCCGAAGCACACAGAAAAGGGACCCTCACAAACATAGGGAACAGGAAGATCCAGGTTACGCAAGGAGATGACCAGGCAGACATTCTTGAAGACATACTCGGCCGAGCCACCAATAATGTCCCTCGGGGGCTTGGCCGACTGGCGGCATGCCGTTGGGCGAGGCTGCGCAACTCCTGCTTCACAAGCACTGGCATCCGCGTGGATGAGCTATCGGCACCATCGGCTTGCAACAAGCTATCTATCATTGGTGCGCTGGATCGCTGAGGTGGCTGGGCAACAAGGGCAAGTACAGCAGCAGGGCAGGAGCGGGAACGTCACGCTTCTGAAAATATTTCAGCCGCTCAGCCTCCCAAGCAGCCCTCTCATCATAGTCAGCAGGCGGCGGCCAACCTGCTTGAAGCTGGAACCAAAGTTGTTTGAGGTTGCCCTTGTCCTGCTCGCCGTGCTGGATGATGAAGTCCCAGCCAATTTCCTGGTTTTCCTCGTTGGGATGTCCCGCGACGCTTGGCGCTGAGGGAGAACATTTTGAACTGGTGTCCACCAAGCTACTCTAGCGTCCATTGAAGTCCACCGCAGATGAGGCAGCCGACACAGGTGCCTTGGATCTTATCATCCTAATGTAGAAGTGTTTGGCCACGCACAGGTTGCCGCTGTTTTGTGTGATGATGAAATACTGGCCGATGATGAACTCGAAGGTTGGCCTTTCCTTCATTGTCAAGGTTTCAGGCAACTCATCCCACGCCTTGTACGGGATGACAGCTTTCAAGTTTCTCATGTTGCAGGAAGCAGGACTGACATCGTAGACGACGTCGATGAACTGCTTGATAGACGGAGAAGAATTGAAAGCCTGGCAAACTTTAAAGACATGCAGATGACAAAGAGATAGAAACTTTGATCGCATCTACATACGAGACAATGTGCTTGTAAGGCAATGAAGCTCTTTCAACGGCAAAGTTGCGGGCGTCATTGCGCCCACGAAGAAAGGTCCCACATGGACATGAATCAAGGAAGCCATTAAAAGCACAGAGTTGCTGCGGGAAGCGATTGTTCGACAAACGGCATTGGTTTTTGAGCTTCTGTTAAAAACATATCACCAAGCTAGTTGACTGATAACACCAGGATATAGCATATCATATGCTACTGGATGCCGCGGGTTTCGGGTGGCTTCCTCTTGGATTCCCGGTTTCACCAACCCAAAGAATCTGAGTCCCCGGAGACACATCCCCCTATGGACCCGGAACAGGTGGATTCGGGTTTGGTCTCTCTTACTCCCACGACGTGAAAAGGGAATCCAAATGTTGAAACCATCTCTTTCACAAACCCTTGTGCCATGGTGTCAAAAAGTATCCTTGCTTCAGAGGCCGCAAGAAAAAACAGATGCCACGCAATCTGCTCCCCAAAAGTTCTGTCCGTCCCTGACCCACCCACCCCAAATGGCTATGGGTCAAAAATGCGTACCCATGGGTTGCCCATTTACCCCAAAGACTGAAACCTGCGGTTTGGGGCAAAAAAACACATACTCAAATACAGGGATCCTTGCATTATACAGCTGAACATTGCCTTGTAAATGGTGGTGTCCCTTCATTTTGGTGGAAAAAGCCATGTTTCAAATGGCCAAAATGTATCTTTTAAGGAGCCCTGCCAAAGCCCCCTTTCCACGGGCCCCCGGCTCCCGGCCCAGAGACTTCACCAGCTCCACGCCCTCCAGGCGTCGGTCCCTGTCGCAGAGCTCGGGTTTCGGGGTGGTCCCGCGGGAGACTTACTCTCCCACCAGCTAACATGGGCTAGTGCACAGACCCCCTGTAGAACGACGACTTTTTTCTTGGTCAGTTGGCCTTTTTGCACTTCCATGTTAGTTGGTGGGAGGGTAAGTTTTCAGTGCAGCGAAGGTGATGTTTAGCAAGCCTTTCGCGACGCGTGCGAGAACCTCTCATAGTGAGAACCTCCAAGCAGCCCTTGCCCCAAAAGCGTCTCCTGCCCCGGGCCCTTCAAACGCTCACCCGCTCGATCTGCCTGGGCACGAAGGTGTAGGGCAAGCGGAAAATGGGCTTTGCCACTCCCAGCATCATCAGCATGGTATTGACACCTCAGCTGTTAGCTGATGTCGCTGCAGACGCGCAAGGAACCCAAAATTGCGCCAATCTTTGGCCGACTTTTCCTAGGACCCAACAAGGATCCGAAATGTTGCCCTGGGCAAAGGCGCCTAAACTTGGCGCTTTGCCAAGTTGCGTGAAGCAATTTCAACTGGTTTTCCATACAGGTGAGGGCTGAACATCCTTTTGACAGCCGAAAGATTCCAATTACCTCGAGGAATCCAAGCGTTTGGACCTCAAGCGCATGGCCGAAGGCATCACAAGCTAAGGCCACCCGCCGATGGGATTCGGGTCTGTAAAGAGCCTCGTATCTCGAAGCGGCGAACTCCCGCCCGAGCCCGAGGACCCACATCCGATTGCTCCCTCGGTTTCTATAGTTGGCATTGTTGAGAGCTACATGGAGCTGCATGAAATGGAAAAGGGGAAATACCTGCCTGGATGAACCTCCTGGTGGTGGCCCTTTGCTTTCCTTCGAAACAACCCCGACAAGGGTACATCCGAAAAAGCCATGTGGATGGAGCCTGAGGAAAAGGGCTGCTTAGGCACAAAAAGCATGAACAGAACAAATTAACCAAACCATGTCTACGAAAACCAGTGCAAATCCCACCAACGGAAGTCAGCATTTTGGACTGCTGGCAAACAAAAGGTCAAAAGTACCGAGAGGCCCCACAGAGCCAAGAAAAAGTCTTCTTTGAGGCCATGGCCACTTGTACAAGGGCTGCAGCTTGGCATCCAACGCTTCATCCTGCGCGGAGAAGCGTTCGGGGCACGCAAAAGCGCTCAGCTGATAGCTGAGTCACAATCAAAACCCGGAACTAAAAATGGTCTACCCAGAACCATGCTTCAAGAATTAAGAAGGCGGCCACAACTATTTCTGGCCGGGACTGCCCCTTGCTAACCTCCATCTACCCGGGTTTTGATTGTGGCTCAGCTCCTCTTGAGGCACTCGCCAAGTGTTGCCAATGTGCAGACCTCCACAAGGCCAAGTGAGAAGGATACTGCGTGTTGCATCCATGGTAGTTGGCGCAAGGCCACAAGCTGATCCTTATCCCTGCAGCTTGTCAAGAGCTGGCAATAGATGCGTGCAATTCAGGAAACAGTTCAGGTCAACTGGAAAGTGCTGGCTCTGCATTAGGTTAATCAATCAGTCAGGGTCAAAGGCCCAGCAACTCCACTGTCCCCTTCTTTGCCAACTGTGCAATCATCACAAAGGCGACCGTGCAACAATCTTTACAATCGGTGCAGCAAGCAAAGCTGTCAATATTTCAAGCCTGCATGTCATCAACACGACATGTGCACTGCGGCCCTAAAAAACCTTGGAGCTTGATTGAGGAGTGGCACCGCATGATGCATGCTACCCCTCGCTCGTCTCAATTACGAAAACTTGCAAGCCTTGGGCAGCTCTCCGCAAATTCCTCGATGCAACAGTCATGGAAATCCCAAACCCCCAAAGCAAAACGATGCAACAGTCATAGAAATCCCCAAACCCCCCAAAAGCAAAAGGAATGGAAGAGACTTCCCACCTTCATTCCTCCAGCAAGGCCTCAATTGGCGCCGAACACGCGCATCCTCCTGCGTCATCAGCCGCTTCACCAAGCCTTGCACGCCGGCGAATCGGAAAAGCGAATCGGAACCCTTGCGTAGCAGCTGCCGGTTCTGACACGCGAGGTGGAAGACGAGTCTAAAACATTGGCCCACCAAAGATGCCCAAAATGACGCAAATGAGGCCTCATGTCTCGGCAAGCCCGTGAAGTGTCAGAGATGAAGAGACGAAATGCAACTGGTTCTCCGGCTAAGATTGACTAGGTTGGAGCCCTGTCTTCTTGAAACTACCATAAACCATTACTGGTGGGCAATTTCAGGGCAACACAGAACGCGGGCCGGTGCATCGCGCCTGGCACCACATTGGACCTTGGTGAATTCAACTGATGAGGGGGTCCCTTTTTGAGGGCACCCATATCGCTGTTGTTTTCAATGGAAGTCACAGTGAAACCGCACATGTTGGAATAACCACCTGATTTCAAGACAGACAACCATCCCCCGGGTTCGGGTGCTGCTCGGTGTCCTGTTACACTTTGCATCTTGAAACTGCTGAGAAAGCCATCCCACACCCTCTGATTCGAGTCAGGTGGTTGCATGAAGATGATGCAGGCACAGAAGCACCAACCCTCAGCTTGTTGTGCGCACTGAGCTCCACACGTCACAGAGATGACGCCCACCGCGCCGCACTTGTGTCTGGATTGGTGCATCCTAAGCTGTACGGCACCGATCTTTCACCGGAGATGACAAATCCCCGCACAAAGATGTCAGAAGTTCCCCTAAAACTTGCAATCTGAAGACGGCCACTGAACGCACAAACCGCTGAGGGGCGTTTCCACATCTGCATCGGACTCAAGGAGCTTGACTTGTTTTGATACTTGTCTACGGTTGTGTCTGAGCGTTTCTCATGACGCAGTTCATTCTCCAAGGACTTCAGAGGGCCTATATCAAACTGCAGCTGTGGAGGAGAGACAAGATGCCAAGGGCAAAGGAGGGCTTCGGTGTGGGAGGGGGAGCACAGTGGAAGGATGTATGTGCGCACACGCTCGCGGGCAGGCACACACACATGCATACACGCATACGCGCACGCACACGCGCACGCACACGCACACGCAAACGCACACGTCTCAGACCACGCAGACAATCCCTTTGCATTCCACGTGCGATATGGGCACGAGATCTACCTGGCTGGTTTCCCCAAACCCAAAGTGGAGCTTCACGCGCCCGAGGCAGGAGCTGGTCATCGTTGCCTGACCAGCAGCAGATGCCCACATCGGAGAGCTCCTGGGAGGAACTTGGGCCTCCCTGTCGGGCGGGAAGCGGCAATATCCCACCTAACACACATGAGTCATAATCAAAACCCGGTACTAAAATGGTCGACCCAGAACCATGTAAAGAATTAAGAACGCGGCCGCAGCTATTTATGGTTGGGATTGTCCCTTACTGACCTTCATCTACCCGGGTTTTGATTGTGGCTCACATGGCTTCGCGCAAAGCGCCGGAACCAAGTCATCTTTTCGCAGCTGACAAGGCCACCCGGATCAGCAGCTTCTCCTTGATGCGCTCGTTTCCCATGCACTCCTCGGCCACGCCCCAGTGGGGTTCTGCAGTGACAAGGTGTGCAAAGAAAATCAAAGACACGCACCCAAACGTAGATGAATTGCCCAAAGCTACCGTTCTGCGTGTCTCTCTGCCTATTGCATTCTCGATCTATCCACCTACCTGCCTATTCGTCCATGCATATTTGTTCTCATCGATGCATCTGCCTATTTCCGTCTGTCCATCTACGCATCTGCACATCTATCCACCTGTCTATCTATTTACCTATCTACCTGCCTACCTATCCATCTATCTATCTGTCTCATCTAGCTATCCACGTGTCTATCGAGTTCCCCTTCTGCTGCACATTCGGGAAAAAGTAACACTGCTTTTGGAGCCCGGACAAACCTATTTCCGAATGTTTCTACGTGTGTGTACTCTTGCAGGTCATGCGAAACAGCGATGGTTCATGGTTGTTTCCTTTGCCACTTGGGCCGTCGCTGTGACGGGCACGTTACCCCTCCCTGCCTCCTCAACCCCCCCAAGCCATCCAACCATATGCGCAAGACCCTTGCAAGGGCTCCAAGGGCTCCAAGAAGCCGTGTCTCCAAAACCAACCCGGGGAGCGTGATTCAAGACGTTCCGTGCCAAAGCCAAGGCTTTGGACTGAGACTTCCTCAAAGGCTCAAAGGCTCAAAGCGGCCCCACCTTCACGCCAATGAAGTTCGGGTTGTCCTTAATCTTCATGATGACGCTTGGCTTGATGTCCTGCATGCCACACTACCTTGCCGACTAGTTGGTGTACTAAGGGTCACACGTACGTGTGCTTGCATTCCCTTGAACATCAAAACGACATATTGTGGCCCCTTCCGCGAAACCCTTCCGCCAAGCTTCCGCTTGCGCAATGCAAATATGTTCTACGACCACTGAAGAAACACTTCCACAAACCTTCCACTAGCTTCTGCGGCCGCAGTGTGATACTACTTGTGGTTTTCATATGTCCACCTCTAGAATGTTCTAAAATGTGTTGCTTGAACGAGATCAAAGCGCCCTCAGAGGAAGTTCTTCCACCAGCCCTCGCTCCAGAAAGCACAAGGTGAGACGTCTGAAGATCACAAGGGAAGCACAAATCATCGGACACGCTTTATGTCCATCACGACCGTTTGCGCGTCGTATTGCAGCCATAGGTGCCCTTCTTGAGAAAAGAGATGGCCCTGGTAGTTGATTCAACCACCAGGTAAACCAGGGCCCTCAATTGTTCGACCAAAACAACCAAAAAGGACACCTATGTTTGCAGCCGTAAGAGACTTGCAGCAGCTTGCTGCAAGCTGCAAGCCCCGTCCTGGCCAGTCCGGCCCGGCACCTGAGCGCTGAGGCATGGACACTCATAAGGTGCATCGAGGAAGGAACGGAGCCTGCCACCTGCAAGCAGCTTAGACCAAATACGGAGCCTCCAAGTCAAATCCACATGTGTTTGTTCTTGCACGCTCGGGCACCACGCGTTGTAGATGAAGGCAGGACCGAATCTCAGCGCGTGTTCCAAGTGCATGACCTGGGTCGAAATCGCTTGGCCCGTTGCGGCGCAACGGTGCCCCCCCCCCCCAACAGCTGCATGCCAGCTGCAGAAAACATCTAGCCTCTGAAGGAATTCCAGGGCATGAGGCTCAGTGCGAATCTCTGAACCGGCAATTGCCCAGCAATGAAGGTGGGTTGTAGGGCACGAAGCCAAGACCACAAACATCCGCTGGCTCCCGCAGCCGTGCGCTCGCTCTTCTGACTGCTCTCACTGCTTCACGGCCTTTCCCAACAAAACACTCGGTTCAATCTCAAAGCAATCACTTCGTCAAAGGCTATTCGAGGGGCAACTCAGTTGGAAAGGTGAATGAAGTGAATTCACCCGTCTTCAAATCAGCGGCCCCAAAGTTTGACGGATTTGGGCTCCGGACAATGCCAGAATCGGAAGTCTTGCCTGCACATAAAGCTGGCGCTGCATAGGGAGGAGTAAATCAACATGACAAGGGCTTGAGAGCTGTCATTCTGCAAGTATGTCCATGGAGCATGTCGGTAACTTGGATGTCGCCGAAAATCATGCTGGGAAGGTCGAACACTAATGCCTTGATCAATTGTCAAACGGGAAATATGTCTAACCAAGCCCCCATGCACAGCAACCACGCGTCGAGAACTGGCTGCCCAATGCCATCAAGGGTCCGTAGTATGGATTGATCAGCAAGGAGGCGTCCATGCCAACAGCCTTGGCCACCATCAGCGGCTGAAAACTTGTGGACTGCAGGTTGAATTAAGCGCATCATCACATATCCATGTTTCCCGCGGCTGAAAGCTATGGGGTCCATGGAGCGGTTGTTGGATAGGGTCCAGAGTTTGGAGGGGCTGGCTAAAGTTCTGGAAGGGTTCTGGAGGTTGTTGGGGATACCACCTGAGCTTATTGATTCCCATGAGGCGGCGTTCCCAGAAGGGAACCCTGGGCATTGTGCCTGAACGGCGCTTCCCATGTCTTGCATCAAAGGCTATGCTGTCAGCTTCCAAGAATCTGAGCACCCGGCAAAGCCTTTCTCAGTGGCCCACACCATCTGAGGAAGTCTTCAAGCAATGACTCCCAACAACATCAGCAACCATCGTGGAAACAGACCTGTCACCAGACTCAACAATTTGCGACACATGAAATAACCACTGCCTACATAGAACTTGCCAAAAGCTATCACGCTTAGAGTGACTTGCATGAATCTATTGCATGCGTTGGTATCGGCCTCTGCAGTGTGGTTGCTGCCTGTGTTTCCGACCTCAGCAACAAGTGGCTTGGACTCATCAGTTCGGAGCAACCTGCACGAGCCATGGAACCTCCTCGCCTACGGAGGTGCAAGGCCTGGGGTGCCAGCGATGTAGAGCCGGCCCCCAAATTTGGCCTGCGCTCAGAAACGAGCTCCCAAGATCCGGCCCACTTCCCATTCCACTGATCCGGTCTTCCCCGCACGGTTGAGGGGTTGGGCTGGCACCGGAGCTCCGAGAATCCCAGGCCTTGGTGTGGCCAATGAGGTCCAGGTGCTCCTTCCAGGACAGCAGGTGACCTTCTCCCGTGGTTCCGCCCACGATCACGCCCTCCACCTCAGGGCTCGGGCCAGCCAAAAGTGCAAGTGTGACACATCACGGATTTTGCGAGGGCATGCCAGTGGAGTAGATTCTTGAGATCATGTAAGAATGATCAGGTTCGGAGCAGGAACATTTGGCATCTGCTTGTTCTGCTTGAGGATTTCAGGTGGATGGATCAATCATGCATGTTCAAATTGATTTGTGACTTCTGCAACTGTATCTTTGCATGCTGCTTTTGACAGCGTCGCCAAACATTCAAAGGTGATTGCGATTCCCTGCTTGGAGGATACTCTGGAATCCCGTCCTGGGGATCCTTCACAAGAGTAGTCGCAAATCCATTCAAAAATGGGTACCCAAAATACAAGGACTCAAATCTGCGGTCCCCGAATGGTTTCATTTTGACCCACACCCATATCTCACATCAAGCCCAAGCCAGCAAAGAACCGACCCAGGCAGCCCACGCCGTTGGCGACCTGGTGCTCCAGGAGCCTGTCATAGGCCTGCGTTTGGTCGCAGCCATCCGCCCGGGTCCACAGGAAACCGTCGATGGCCGCGTCGGTCTCTCAGCGACCCGCCTCCAAGTCGATCTTGCCATCCGGCAAGTACGGCGTCTTCACCGCGGTGATCAGCCGCGCCTGAGCAAATGCCAGGTCGAATGTCTCAGTCTGAAGGCTGGCGCAGTCAACCACAGCTGCCCCAGATTGGTGGGGTGCGCTCTCCCTCTGCCGAGGTTGGCAAAGAGTCTTCGATGCTGGTTAAGTTGAGAAGACTGTGGAAGAAAGATGTCATCCAGCACCAATTGTGAAGCTAACAGTACGGCAGGCTTGCAACCCAGTTCTGAGTGCCCGCAAGCAAAGACTCAAGCCAGTGTTGCCAAGGAAATAGACCTTACCGAAAAATCAGTGTTCTTTGCACAAATTACAATCCTCTCTTGTTTGCTGCCGACTTGCAGCAAAGTGAACTGAGGGCCTACGCAGAGATGCATATCCAAGAATATGTCCTCTCTTCTGGTCCTTGTTTGTACGCCTGGGTTCCGTTGGCCCACAACCCTCGCACTTCTGCCTCATGCTCAAACTGAGCTTGTACATCGTGTGAAGCCCTCGGCTCATCCCTGCCCCAAGACCGCCTTGCGGAGCGTCAGCGTCGCTTCCGACATCGTCGTTTCCTTGATGCTATCTGGGAAAAAAGGCTGTGCCTTGAGCCGAAACGGAACGAAATTCCATTGGCCGTTTTCCGATTGCCCCTTAAGACTAAAAGGGTTACCCTCGAACACGACATTGGCCGCAGTGTGCAACGAGTGGAAATCGCCTTGCCCCTGGCCCTTGGCAGGCTATACGGCAATAACCTCGGTGCCCCACCGATAAGCAATGCTGGGTGGTACCTGTTGCCGCTGGATTCACAATCCGAACGCCTTTTGTAGGAGCGTGAGTGCGTGCGTGCGTGCGTGCGTGCGTGCGTGCGTGCGTGCGTGGGTGGGTGCGTGGGTGGGTGGGTGGGGTGGGTGGGGTGGGTGCGTGGGTGGGTGGGTGGGTGGGTGGGTGCGTGCGTGGGTGGGTGGGTGGGTGGATGGATGTGTACGTGTGTGCGTGAGGATACGTGTCATCGTATTCTCCTGTTCCCCCAAGCGCGCCTGCTTTTCGTCTGGCCTCACCCGTGTGTCTCAGCGGCTTCATCCATAGCCATATCAACATGTGTGATTGTCATCTGCCTGTAAACTGCTAGATTAATCAAAGTTCCAAGCCTTTGGCCAAGACATGCAAAGCGCCCCAGCAAGTGAATCAAAGCCATGCGAAGGTATTCTCAACTTCACTGGCTGAGGCCATAATCGAGCTACGTGCATGCACTGACCCAAAGCGAGGGATCTTCGATGCCGGTGAGATCCATGGCAACAAATAGAAGCCTTATGGCCCCCTTAGTCAAACACCGCTTGCACAGCGCCATCAATGAAGATCTCAGCGCCCAGTGACAGGAACCCTGACAAAAATCGGAACTCCTTTGTGCGCAGGGCGCAAACCGACACTCGGCTTGGCATCGCCGTGCATGGCCCGAGCAAAGCAAAGCATGAGTATGTCTGGAATGTCTTGCACCCGGAAAGCAAAGAAGGGGCATTCGACCAGGACATGCAACAGCGTTGCCGCCATGTTCAATTAAAACAGGGTGCCACGCCTTTCAAAAGTTCAAGTTCTAAGACCTGTGCAGTCACAAATGAGCCAACTCGACATATGGTAGCGGAGTCAGCACCCTGAGTCTCGTAAAAAAAACAAGGCACTGCCGCCCCAAGTCCCCCAACTCGGCAATTTCGCTACTGAACAAAGCTCTCCAGCTTTCACCACAAGCCGTCCGGGGTGAAGGAGAGCACTTGGCAAATTCCCGAGCAATCCATTGAAATAGGCCAGGATCAACGAAGATCTTGGTGTGGCTGCATTGGCTGCGCATGCATTCCACGTGTGTGTGTGTGTGTGATGTTGCTTGCTTGGTTCACTGCCACACCAAATTCACCAAGCACCGAGAGCAAGCAGAGAAGCATGAAGCAGTGTCCATGCTTATAGATTCTCCGTTAAGGCACCTTTTGTAATAATCGTTCTCTCCTAGGCTCACTTTGCGCTCCAGTGTAGCGCTATCCCCCTGCATCCCGAGACCACAAACAAAGACTTGCGGCAGGGTTTAGCCGAATGTCCGGTGCAAGAGTCCGGAGATGCTATGAACACGAGGCGAGGGACTCGCCTTTCGGGCTGCCCAAGCGAGCCGGGCATGGTGCCTCGCGCCTCGGCCAAAACCCGCCAGAAAACAACGCGTTTCTGCCGGTGGATCTGACTCCATTGCGCAGGGACGCCTTTTGAACCTAGCATCGGACCAAATACAAAATGAACCACCACGATCTCCAACTGATATGTTCGATCCAGCATGAGTCTATGAAGCTTCGCCCTGGTTTTCAAGGTGTGAAAGTGCAAAGACCATCAGTCTTCCAATGCCATCGCTTTCAATCCACCGGGGACCAGGCCTGTTAGGCAATTCTGACGCGCCAGTGATTCTGCCGCTGCTTGTCATGGTCAACGACAATGCCTGCGCACCCAAATCGTTTCTGATCGGTCAATCTATGCAAAACTCCTGACTCCCAAAGCTTTGCCAATTTTTAGTAAACTTAAGGTCCCGCTGGCGTATGGACTGAAAGAAGCTCAATGTCGCCAGAGGCCTGGTATGGACGTCAACCACTTCTTGAGGCTCCCATCATTTCGCCTCGGCAAAGCTCATGCTGACAGCATGATATGTTTGGTCGAAGCAACTACTAGCACCAAAACATGTTCTACACCCGCAAGGCATCATTTGTGCAATCTGAGCCCATAGCTTGCTGTTCTGCCGGACATACATGTTGAAGTTCGCTGCTACCTGTGCACTGAACAAGGTCCCGGTCGAAACCAGAGTCTAGCAGACCCGAATTTGACGCACCTTGCCGTGGCCGGTTGGGGTCGAGCCCCATCCAAATTCCCCGAATTTCCCGGTCGAAGCACCGAAAGCTCGGCGCCAGAGCCTTCCCCGCAAGCCAAACGCCATCTACAGACCCACCGTGTCCTGGCACGTCTGCACAGCCAGTTACCAAAGGATGGAAAAGCAATCCGATCCCTTCTCCCAAAAGAGGGAGGCGCATGGGAAGGGTGCCACAGGGTGGTTTGCCGGTGTGATGCTGGGGATGTTGCTGTTGCTTTATGATTGCTTTTGCTTCCTTACATTATGTTGCTTCATCACCGTTACTTCGTTGCACATTTCATTATGTTGCTCCAGTATCTCTACTTCACTAAACTACTTTGCGGCTATTATCATGGTGCCAAGCATTGCTCATTATGACGGAGTTCAAAAGTCGCGTGAGGTCCTCATGGTGATGCTGGGTGTTGCTGTTGCTTCATTGTTCTTGACTGGTGTTGATTCAGTATCACTATTCCTTATCACTATCATTATTTGGATTTCAAACGTGACGCTAGGCCTTGATGGTATTGCTGGAGATGCAAAAGGACAACGCTTCCCGAACATCCCCACGGGCTGGTCAAAAAGCTCGCTGCCAAGAACCAACCAAAGAAGACCACACTTTTTGCGTAGATGGGCAACCCTTCAGGTATCTTGTCTTGAAAACCACGGGAACCCTCGAGTCTAGCATGCGGGAGCATCTGCACACTCTGTGATTCCGCTAAACACCCTCTCCTCGAACCAGCTCGTGCACGGTCTGCTCGAGCCGTTCGCCTTTCGACCTGGCCATGCCACCGGCCAAGATGCCCATGCGACAAAGCCCCAAAGAGCTCAAACGAGACCAATGGCTGAAGTCTCCACGTGGATTGAAGATCGCGATCGCACCAAAGAGCAACCGAGATGTGCCTTCAGCTTCGTGAGTCACGGCGACAAATGCAGCCTCCCTGCAAATTACCTGTTCCATGAGTCACAAGTACCTAGACGCACCCAACATGAGGAAATCATATAATCGCAAAGGGTACGTTTGGGCACCTCTCTTGGAGTAGTGAAGCCCCTGATCCGTCACATGCATGTGCTCTGTTCCATGCAATGTCAGCGCAGTTCTGCACTCCAACCGTTTGCTTCCTTGGCCCGAATCAAACTGGAAGAGCCTGAAGCCCCACCTGGCCTCGTCTCAAGCTGGGTCTGTCGAGCCTGCGGCTCCGCTTTGCTGTTTCACCGGGCTCGGCTACCGTGCAAAGGACGGCTCAAATCTGAGATCCAAGGAGCCATCCTATCACAATAGTCACATGTTGCCTACCCAGAAATCCAGGTTCCCCACAAACCAAATTCGGCGGTCTTGAAACTTGAAGCCCTTGTGATCTGCATGCCAGTGGATCTTCGCACGACTGCGCGGCCCAAGAGGTCTTGCCCCTTCAAGCAAGCCACACCGGCCCACTCCCAACCCTGCCTTTGCAGCAACCGCCTCTGACCTGAGCAATTTTCAGCTTGAGGCACTTTGTAAGCTCAAGGTTTTTGACATCCTCCACTTTGGACGCCAAAAAGCTTGGAGCCCCCAGGGAGTACAAAATGCTGTCGTCGGCTAATGTCTAGTTTTTTGGATACCACCGAAGCATGACCCCAAATACTTGATCTCAATGATGCTCAGCGCTCAAACACGCCCAACATGGACAGCCTGACCCTCTTCCGTTCGGGGAAGGCTGCTCAGTGCTTGCCAGGTATCTTTCTGTGCGTCCAGCCGCAACATCTAAGAAATAAAACAGGCGGCTGCAACAGGCGGCTGCAACAGGCGGCTGCAACAGGCGGCTGCAACAGGCGGCTGCAACAGGCGGTAGCCCAGGTTGACGTTTTCTTGGCCAATTGGCTGAAATTGGGCTGAAATTGGGCTGAAACGCCCCAAATCAGCTCACACAGCCTGAGCCCGGCGCGACGAACGGCTCATCCACCTGAAGGAAGGGCTGTCTGGCTGTCTGGGACATCAAATGCGCCTTGGAGGCCCCTACAAATCTGTGAGAAACAACGAGGGTGAAGCATTGCTCGAAAGTATCTTCAGATGTTGTTGCTACGTTCAAAATTTGCAATGGACAAAGCTGGAGAGGCCTTCTCGAGGTGCGGGAGGACGACACATCCACCTGCCGCATCCATGATCGCCAGCATCAATTGGGTGACCAGTTGAGTGGGTTCTGGCAAACGGCTTCATTTCGGATACACGCATGGTTGACCTTTTGGTGCAAGCTATCAATTCAAAACACTTGAAGGTCTGCTGCAAGCCTTGGCCTCAATCAAAGCACCCCTGATCCACAGGACACGGAAATGGGGGCGGCCTCTGCAACTACATTGTCTGAATCCTCCTCATCCTCATCTTCATCCTCCTCGTCCTCCTCGTCCTCCTCGTCCTCCTCGTCCTCCTCGTCCTCCTCGTCGTCCTCGTCCTCCTCATCTTCCTCGCAAATAGTCATGTTTGTCAGCTGAGACGATGCGAAGCATACAGGCGCGCACCCAATCGCAAAGACAGAAATAGAATGAAGAGAATACAAAACGGCCAGTGTCTGTGCTAAGTCTGCCCCAAGCCAGGCTAGCTGCTGGAATGCACAACTCAATATTTCGCTATCTGAACGATGGCGAAGGAGGATGGCCCTCTAGACAAAACAACATGCGCCGCATCAGATTCCTCGCCTCGTCGTCGGAGTCCTGTGCACGGGCGCAAGGCTGCGCTCTTTGGATGTGCTCGGAGCAAAATGAG